CATACATCTATTATTGTACTATTGAATAATTTTGATTTATGTTTTTTGTTTATTATAACTTTTTAGTCGATTATGAATTACTTTTTTTTCGAACATATGAAAATAAGTATCAAGACGTGCAACAGAAAGAATGTTTATGGATGAAGGAGGAATTAAATTGAACAACGGTGGCGTAATTTTTTTTTATTAATTCAAAATCTTCTAAATTATGATTCATATAAAATAATTAGTAAAATTTTTAAATAGAAGATGTTAAATATTTTGTTGTAATAATAATAAATTACATCAAGAGAACAAATTAAATTTCTTTACAGATAAAGATTTTTTCTTATATCTCGAGCTAAGCAATTGAAAAAAAGTCGATTGTTCCTAGAAACAATGTAGCACAGTGAGATTATCATGCATTCGATATCGCGTAAAAACCGAGTGATTTTGAAATCGTTTACTTTACAACATCAGGTAGGCATAAGCGCATAAGAGGGCGGTATTGTAATAGCGACTGCGCAATCAATCGAAATAGCACGATATGGTATAACGTATGCATGTGTAAGTACAAATACACAAGGTGGGGGATACTTTTTTTAGTGTCTCTCTCGTTTCATTCGTTAGCTCGAGTTTTTAGTAAATTCGCGTTTGTAGGAGCGACTTATGATGTTTAGTCACGTTTAAGTTCTCGACTCTACACTACTAGTAAGGAAATGTCCAGGATTTGCTATATTGGGCTCTTCTCGTACTAAGAAGAACGCAGCAGTACGTGCTTGCATGTGAATGCGCCTCGATTTTGTATTTTTCTACGTTTCGCCGTGCTGTTTTCAATATGTGTCCAGTATTCCTCTGAAATTTCCACAACTCGTCAATCATATGAAAAATGTCGAAGCTCGGTGACAAACAGAGCTATGCGCAGACATACAAGCTCGTCGTCGTTGGCGCGGGTGGCGTCGGAAAATCTGCGATCACGATACAATTCATTCAAGTGAGTACTTTTTATGGCCAATAGGTGTAGCAAATACGTACGTGGGTGTACGTATAGACGTATATGTATCCGTGCGTATCGTTTGTGCTTGTGTACTCTATCATACATACAGTGGCTCACGAAAGTAACGGATCACTCCTAGAAACTTTGCATGTATATGTTATACAAAATATTTTGAAATCTCAACACTGCACGAGATGCGATTATCGTGCTTATATTGGTAAAATTTGAAATGAATTTGAAAATGTATATAAAAGTTACATCGCAATACTTATTGGGAGTATATACTTCGTAAATACTGTCAAAGTATTAATTACTCAATTCAAAATCAGTTACTCAATACATTAATAAGTTATAATATTTAGTGAGACAAGTTTTAGCACTAATTGTATGTATAACACTACATCCATGCTGTATTCTAATTTTTCACCAACGATAAGTGTATACTTGCAATAAATGCTTTAGAACTTCTATATACATTTTCGGATTGGTTTCAAATGTGACTATTATAACCACAATAGTCTCATTACAGTTCTAGTGCACATAATATATTCATAAAATAAATTTTCAGACACTTTCGATACTTTCGTACATGTATGTATAAATGGTATATATGACGTATATACAGGGTGTCGCAGTAGTCATCGACAAAATGGCGATTCTATGTGAAAAAATAAGTCGAAAATATAAATAAAAGTTTTCCATATGACATTTCGTTTTCGAGAAAAGAGAGTTTGAAAGTTTGCCAATTATACTTAAACTTGACTAATACTAGACTGGACAAAAGCAAATAATTGACAGGAGGTTATTTTACGTATGAAAATAAGTTGAAAATAAAATTTTAGAATAAAATTTTTTCATAGGACACTGCGTTTCCGGAAAAATGAAATTCGGAAATTTCTATGTACCATAATTACCGTAACACCCTGTATTTATGACATTTATTTGTGTACATTGTGCATATTAGATTTGTCAATCGGATTCGTTTTCATGCGTCCTACGTACTACGTCATTCGCGATCAATTCAAATAAAGGAATAATGAAGCGAATAATGAATTATAATAAATTATATTGGAAATATTTCATAAATAATGTTTATATGTCAAGGTAAACAATTGGGTTGTTATATTTCGCTTATGAATATTTTCGTAATTACGCTTGCACTGGATACTAAAAAAAGGAACAAGCCTACTTTTATCATCGATTATGTCATATATAACTGGGGATAAGATTGTTGATATAGCCACGTAATATTATAATACTCGCATAATATATTATTTTTATATACATATATAGTAATACGCAACAGAGATTGTTTTGCACGTACTTTAAAGTAATAATTTAAGATATTATATATTTAAATTTGTATAAATTATAATTTTTTAAGTTATATTCTTTATAGTCACAATGAATTATTTTATACGACAGATTTACTTGCACGATAATTTTTTAGTATTATTTATAACGAGGTTTTGATTATTATTTTGTACTAATTTCACTAATATTTTTCAGAGCTATTTTGTAACCGATTATGATCCAACAATCGAAGATTCTTATACCAAACAGTGCGTTATCGACGATATACCTGCGAAACTCGATAGTGAGTAAACTGATAACAGTGAGACGCTATATATTAATTATCGTTTCATATTTATTTGTATAATACAATTGTAATATCTTCTATAACTTATTTTATATTAATTTTCATGCAGTTCCATAATGAATCATGGGTTTGTTATTGTAAGAGTATAATTCCTTATTTATTCAATTTTAGAATGAATATTTTATGAAAAAGTTAGAATGGTCAGTTTATAAACATTAAAAACAATACTACATATATATAGTAGAATGTTTTGAATAATAAAACTAGTAATATTTATGTAATTTTAGTATTAGATACAGCAGGTCAAGAAGAGTTTAGTGCAATGCGAGAACAGTATATGAGAAGTGGCGAAGGGTTTCTACTTGTATTTTCGATAACTGAGCTTTCATCTTTTGATGAAATATTAAAATTCCATAGGCAGATACTTAGAGTAAAGGATAGAGAAGAATTTCCTATGCTTATGGTTGGCAACAAAGCTGATTTGGATTATCATAGAGTTGTAAGTAAATAAAATATAAAGAATTTAATATAAAGAACATTATATTAATATATTAATATGTTAATATTCACTGTTTTACATGCATAGGTTCAAGTTGAAGAGGCACAAAATAGAGCTCGTCGATTGAAAATTCCATATATTGAATGTAGTGCAAAATTAAGAATGAATGTTGACCAAGCCTTTCACGAATTAGTAAGAATTGTCAGAAAGTTTCAGTTATCTGAAAGACCACCACTTGAATTGAACTATAAAAAAAACAAAAAGAAATGTTGTATGTTGTAATGCCTAATGTGTTCTTAATCAACTTATTTTTGTACTAATAAAATGGTACAAAAGGGTTGAATTAAAATCGAAATTGGAATCAATCAAATCACAAGGATTATTATCTATAATTAAGTTGAAATAGGAATTTGAAATCTGAAACAAGGGATTGTTGAAGTGCTTTTGAAAATAACACTTAGATTACTTTAACTTGAAATTTATACACTCAACTTGAATCAAAGAGTGCTTTAAGCAAATATAATATTTTTGAGTATGCTACAAATACTTTGTACTCACTTCTAAAACGAATTAATACAATGGTATTTATGAAATGTGTAGTGTAATAACAAAGTTCACAAATCGTGTAATTTTAATTGTATAAGAAATAAAAATAACTTGACGTATTTTATTAGAAGTATATTAGTAGCAATGTAAGTTTTATATTAAATATATTAATATATTTAATACTATCATGGATCACATATATCCCTATATGACGGTTTTCAAAACAAATTATAATATTATTTAAAATATTTATTTGTAAATATGCATGTATATATTTATTATATATATTAATTATCATTTAATATAGTGCAGTAAGATTCTAACAAAGAGTGAGACCAATAACAACTCTAATGTGAAATTTTTAATAATTTCTTTGATTTAACACAATTTTAGTTATTTTATAGTTATTTAATTTTTCTATCATGATTGCAGCAAGTAAAGTTTAAGAAAGTTTATGATATTTTGATGTGTTCATAAAACAGTTCGTTGAATTAATCGAACTTGTTTATTTATATACAATAATATTTTATGTTTATTTTTGCCATAATTTTTCTAGTGTTATGTAAAGAATTGTTTTTACATTTAAAATAATAGAAATTAAGTTATTATAAACGATTTCCTGTTTACTCTTATGATTATTAAGTGTGTACTCAATATATCTATATTTTTTTATATTAAATACATGTACGATTAAAATATATTCAAATGCCATTAATCACTATATTGTAATATATCAAAGTTAATTATTTTATACAAATATAAAAATTCCAAGGCTAATATAAAATACAAAAATTATATTTATTTTTGTAAATTGTAATGTATTTGTAACAAACTTTTACACGTAACTGATATATAAGTTTAGTATGTGTTCATTAACATCTAATAAATAGTAATACGAAAATAGATAATTGTATTCATTTTTTATAACGAAATTGTAACAAAAAATTAATAAAAACGTTATAAACTAAGTAATTATAATTTGTTGGATATCTACAGTTGAATATCGTAAATAATAAATTTCATTAATCATTTTATAAATCTACTATTATTATTATGAATTGATAATGAATTGATTATGATATGATAAATATAAAATATATTAGCATTCAAATAATTTCTTTTTATGGGTACAAATACAATTAAAAAATAAATTATTTATTAGTCAACTGAAATCAACTTCGATGACATTCGAGCGAGTTTTTACAAGACTTTTATTCCTTAACCTTCTCTGATAATAATAGCGTTCTCCGAATTATTATTTTTGCAAAATAGATTTTGCAAGAATATTTTACCTTAAAAACAATTTTTATACAGAAAATATGCAAAAAGTGAGATATATAGAGAAAAAGGAAATTAAACAATTGCATATATGTACCATGTATTTATAGATTGCAATTTTATTACTCGATTAGGTTATATTTCACGTTCACGTTATTAATACAGCTCTATTATCAATACAATAAAATCGGACAATTTAATATTGTTATTTGATAAAAGAAATAATAACGATAAGTTTTACACAACGGAACATTCACCCTAATTTAGTCAGTAAGCAACTGGCACGCAAGGTGGTCAAACGGGATTCCCATCGTGGCTATTCTTAACCAGACCAGGCTAATATTGAATCCGCTCAATTACTTCCAGCTACACTAACATCAGCAATAAATATAACTGTTATTACGAATTTTTAATTTCTTTTCCCATCCCATTACACACTCACATGAATGAACGGCGCTACATAGAATACATTTATTTTTATTCCGTTTCGTTAAATGACGTTACGTGTACAACTTTCATTTTACAAAAAACACCTGAAGCGAAAACAGATTTTACGTTTAGATACTAATAAGTTTCTCACACGTCAATGTACGTCTATGGACAGCGTACAACGGGAAATATATACAGACAAGAAAAAAACCTGGCAATTATTGTAATAATTATGTAAACAATTTTGTTTTACACGATAATATTAAAACAGTAGCTTATGAAAGAAATTTTTTATAAAACATTTTGAAATTTCATCAATACTGTAATGAGACTCAACTGTCATGATTATATCGATAGCATCTGAAAAAAATTTGAAAAGATTACAAAACGTTTAGTTTAAGTATATATATTTCGTACAAATCGCACAAATCACAAACGTATGTAATCAATTATCCATTATAAATATTAATAAGCTCTACATTCACTGGAACAATCTTTATGATTTATTATTTGTTTAAGATGGCTCAAATTTGATCAATATAACTCAATACAGTGTTAATGAAATCTCAAAATATTATATAAAGTTACATGTTACGCATACATACATAAAAGATTTTTACGATAAGTGTTCATATACTTTCGTGAATCATTGTATGTAATATCTTGAAAAAAACGATATTTGCGGTATTTAAGTCAAACAACATTTTTTATGGTCCGTAAAAATTATTATAGTACCGTATCGTTATTAAGAAGTAAAAATAAAACGAAGTACAATGGCTACAAAAAAAGAAAAAAAAATTAGCAAATAACTTTATTTTCCAATGAATCATTTTTTTATCAGAATGTTCATTCAATTTTCATAATCATCAAATTTTCGCTGTCACATGAAACGTACCTCTAAATAATGCAAAATGTAATCTATTTGTACCTAATTAATTAATTGATAAATTTAAAAAGATATACAAATACTTTTTGTAACTACTGTATAAAATGAAAAGATACAAGGATCTCGGCAATACATTTTTATTTGCCCAAAGAGAAGAGAACAGCGTCGGGACTTCTTGGTAAGAAGAAAGACGAGCTGGGAAGAAACAAGATTGCGAGGAAGAAGAATGCCCAGGTTAAAAATAGCAGCGCGCATTTTCAAATAAAAAGTGATAAGCAACCTGCAGGATAACGATTAAGGAGGAGGGTAAAGAAGGGAGCGCGAGAGGGAAAAAAAGGAGCAATACCGACCGAGCAGAAGGAGATGACCAGTAAAAACGGACTGAAAGAACGTTCGTTGGTAGAAAGAAGATGTACAAAAGCAACCACATCTGTACAGTAGGGGGAGAGAGCAGAGAGAAGAAAGAATCTCCCCGATATCTTAGCTTGGCCCACTGGAATAATATATTGGCTATAACGTATGGTGGTCAAGCTTGGCTCGGTGTTGGTTCGAATAAAGGTGAGAACCGGTGGTGCGTACAGGGTCTGGAAGGAGGAATCTCCCACCCTGTGTAACTTTTACCCGTGTATTTCGCATGGTTTACTGGCTATACGATCAAGTGCATCTAGCACCAAACCGCTAAGTAAACCTGCTCTATCTCCCGCCACGAGACCGCAGCATGATCGAAATACACATTTGATCGAAATTATCGTACGTAATCGGTGAATATTTTTTGATAAGGATAATAACAAGATCGTGGTTGCAACCTCGAGAGAATTTCGCGATAATCGCGTTTCAGGATCCGTACCTACGCTTACGATACGCACGCGATACGCGTATGTTTGTGTGTAACGTCGCAGCAGTAAGCAAATTGTGATGTAATGGAAACGCGACCGATTCCTATGAAAATGTACGAGTTTTACCGAGTTTCACTAGTCGCGCGTCTATATAAAATCTCTACATTTATATAAGCAAATGTATGTATTTATATAAGCAATGCAAATCGTTATTGTTCATATTTAGTGTTTAAACCAGTTATTCGATACAAGGTCTTTCTTTCTGTTTCTAAATTTCATTTAGATCCTCAGTACTTTTGATAGAAATCGTTCCGTGTAGTATATCTAAAATAGTAAAACGTTATCATGCGCAAAGAGAAACGTGCATCCATTCACCACCATCTGCTTTCCTCTAGGCATTATATAAACGTACGTATCAATGTAAAAACGTTGTTTTCGCGTGTTACACTTTGAATAATGTATAATGTAGTTTCTCATTCTTTTTATGTCACAGATACGATCGTTTTCAATAGATCTTCGTTTTGTTCGATACTATCGATTGTACATACAATAGCTCACGAAGTATTTATGTGTATATTATGCATGTTACATAAAAATGAAACACTTTGAAATTCGATTAGCATTGTAACGAGAGTCGACTATTTACGTATTATATGTTTAAGATGATTAATCATGATCTATACTAGTCTAGAATTAAATATACGTTTGCAGTAACTATGTTGTAACTATCTTCAGATTGGTTTCAAAGACCAATATAATCATCATCATGTCTCATTACAGTGCTAATGAGATTTCAGTGTTTTATATTATACACGCAATTTCAATAAATACACACGTTGAAATACTTCCGTGAACCATTGTATATTGATAAAATATGGAATCACTCTTAAAATGAATACGTATAAAGGTAAATATTAGAATACATTTATTGCAAATACACATTTAGAAAAATATTCGTTTCAGTATAAATAGTTTTAAGCATATAGTTAATGTTAAAGATGCTCTAACTAATATAATAATTGATTATTCAAATATTTAAATAATCTCTGTGAAGTGTATGCTTGCAATAAATATCAAATGAATTCTAATGAAATTTTTATGAAACAAAATATTATATACGTATATTGATAAAGATGTTTATAGAAGCGTTGAAATGCTTTAGTGAGACACAGTATATGAAACATTGTATCGAGATAGAGAAATGAGATATTCTATTTGCTAAACGGTTGTCAGTGGCTGATGTAGAGATTTTACGGAGGACACCGACGGTGATCTATTAGTTCGGTGGTTGAAAGCTGTTGCACGAATGAAGACGCTTCGATTTATGATGCTGCGATATGCTAACCATTTTCGTTTGGTTAAAGTCGAGGGCAACCTTCGGGTGTCCCTCCGCCTCCAGCTTGAGCTGGACTGAAAGAAAAGGAAGAGGGAAAGGAACGAGTTCTTCAGTGCCTGTGCACAGTCTAGTTCAAGACTCACGATGATAGTGAACGTCCCGTGAAGATTCCTCCGGCCGGGCTGCCCTTCTCTGCCTAAACAAGAAAACTAGTGTCACCGAGCGTTGTGGACCGACCACCGTTTGCACAGGTCGCGGAACCTCTACAGGTCAGTGCACGTTTATCTTTCGGATGTGACTATAATCTCGACATCGCCTTCGCGAAATCGTTAAATCGCGAATCGATTTTTTCCACGCGGTTGACATTCGATCGCTTGACAGTTTCGGATAGTTTGTTAACGTAGGAAACGTCTATCATCCGTCATTCATATTTCTTATCTAACTTAAATAATTTAAGTTTAAGTTTAATTTCATAATTTCTTTCGTACGATTTGAAGAAGTTTCAGAATAATAGAACTTTGTATTTTTTTTTTTTTTAATTTTAGATATTTTATATAACTGACTGGTAACAACGATAATTGATAAGGATACTATTTAGTATATTTCACGGTTTTAGGAATTTTGTTAAAAGAGATAGTATTTGATATTTTTGTCGATAATATTTAATAACTTCTATAATTGCCAAAATTTTATTAATATAGTATTTCATATTTGTTACTATTTGAAAAGTTCTTCGATTAATAACTATAGTATGCAATAGCTTGTATAATTAAAGAAATTTCGCCACGATAACCATCATCCATGATGATAACATTATGTACTTTCGATCGTGTTTTAATCTTTAAGCGAATTTAATTTGTTTAAGTGAATGGAAATAGATTGGCCATTGCAATTATTCGTGTCAAACTTACGTGAAACGAATGTTACGCGTAAAAAATACGTAAAATCCTGCTTTTCAGGTTTCGCTGCGTTTTCCCGATCGTGTAAATATTGTTACGTTTTAAATCATCTCGCTAGGCTCATAAAATTTTGAACGGCTCGACAGAGTTACGATTCTGTGATGAATGTCGATACGTGACATTTTTGCTTTTCTTGAATTACGTGTTGTGTTTTGAAAATATTGAAAATGGTGCACGGCCATTGTTATACGTACACAGATATGCTAAATATTTCAAGATCATTTTATCTGGGCACAAAGTTACTTTGAAATAATTATAGGTTAGTTTGTTCGAATCAAAGAATTATCTTCGTTTAAATTATTTCATTATTTCGCTAGCAAAAGTGAAATAAATCTTTATTTTGTTTTTATTTGAATAAAATGGAATACAAGTTTCCAAGTAACAATATCTGATTCTATTATGCCAAGAGAGTTAAAAATACAAATTTCCTCGCTCCTATACACAGGCTAGTGCAATTAATATCCAAGACTAATTGAAAGGAGAACAATTCTGAGAGCAAATGCTGTTACGTTCTAAAGTAATTGGGTTTTATTGTTTATGACTGCAATAGATGCAACATACAGCGTTAAAAACTCTACCTTCATACGTTGCATCGTTTTAATATTAATTTTAATTTGTTAGATCTAAAATAGAATTACTTGTTGAAATAACGAATTGATTCATTAATTGTGATTCGTTGTTTGAAATTATCCTCCATTCTTACTTAGAGCTTCACGTTTATTTGTTATTTTGCTTTAAAAAATTCGCTAATTAAGGTAATCAAAATTGATTTCGATATATCATGAAATACAGCTACACTTTGAAAAAATCATAAATCGGCTGAATTATGTTTCGTTAGTTGAAGTTGTTATCTTTCAGTTTTATTTCCAATAAAATTTGCTCCGGGTCCTGGTTATAGCGTGCGAGAGATGTAAGTCATTGAGACCCGAGTACTCACTTTTCTTTGGCTGCACGTAACGTGAATTCTACAATCTACTATAGCTGCACGTGAAACTAATCTTGTTCGAAAGAACTCAGTTAAAAATCTCGTACCAGCTGTTTGTCAGCATATATGTAATTACGATTGCTTGAAATTATATAGTTGAAGTATAAAAAGTGGGATCGCCAATTATTCGAAGAACGACTGGATGTGCATAAAGCTATTTTAAATTGATTAAATCTTTGACTAATGATAGTATTTTTACATATCTTAGATTTCCAATCGAATTACTACGAATCACGACTTTTATTTTTATCAATTTGCATTCGTACTTTTTACAAATTGTAAAAACTTTTAATTGTGCTTGAAGGAAATAAAAATTGAAATGACAAATTTGTACTTTGTAATTTAATTTAATATTATATTTTGTAATTTCGGGTTATTTATGATAAAAATTAATAAATCGAAAATATGTCTTTAATAAAAGAAGATTCTCGTAAAAATGTTACAACTTTTGTAATTGTATAATTTTTAATCTTTGCAAATGGAAATCGAAGAAGTGTCCAATTTAAACGATTGAAATAGTAAATTACAGTCTTTAGTCTTCTCGCGGTAAAAGTTAATAAATCACTAAATATTGTGAAAAGCCGATAATTTGCCTATTAATTATTTTTACAAAAGAAAAATGCAAGAATTGTAATTTAGCTTCCAAGAAAAAAAGAAACTATCAAACAAATTATGTAATTAAGCGAACACGTTATTTGAGATTTCACGGTAAGATACTGTGTCGCAGTCGATATTGTTTTCTCGCAAATGATTGATTGGCCGGCTTTCTCGCCAGCATCGATATTTTTACGCGAAAGTGATGTCTAAATCATTTTCTAGAATAATATTCAGAAATAACGATATTCTCGTACATTAAAAATATTTCTTAGTGTGAAATCAAGAAATAAAAAAAAAAGTAACATAGTTAAATTGTAGTTAATATCGATGCTATAATAGTATTACAATTGGTATTGCAACGCTATTTCTATAATTTGATAACATTTATTTGGTAATAATCGTATTAGGAAAATATCGTTCGCTTCGTTCCAAACATTTATGCGATGTGAATAAACAAGGAGATTTTACGTGTAACTTATTAGTCACACACAGTAGTTGTTATTATAATCATCCAATAACTCAAGTCAGCCAACAATTTGCATTAAAATTTTCCTCGCGCAGAAATGATTTTTTTCAGCAGGACGCGACACGTATCCGCGCGAGGAAAAGATGCGTCATCAGAATTTCTATTATCATAAATTGTTAACATTATTATATTTTCATGTTTAGTTATAACGAATATTTCCATTAATTCTCGACTGTAACAAGTAACGAAAACCACCATTGTAGAATAACATTTCGTGGAAGAGATTATTTTTAGCGGGACAGGATCTTCGAATTTTACTGTTTATAGAAGCAATTTAATCGACGACTATCTTCGGCATAGCTCATGATGTTACGAAGGCTTTTTTCGAAGCAAATCATAGTCATTAATACAGAATCCCTTGATAGCTCTGCAACAGTGTTTTTCTTCTTCTTTTGTTAGAGAAGGATAAAAAGGTATAGAATTACAAAAATTGCAATGTTTCTATAAGGTTTTCTCCTACTAAAACGTACATATTTTTAATTCATTAACTTTTATCGCGAGGAAATTGGAAAGTATATAATAAACATTTATTATTTCCTTTTCCCATTATTCAACCGTTTATGATCCCTTGATTTTCCTTGCAAAAGAATTAGAAATTATACAACTACAAAAATAATGAAACTATAATTCCCACGAGAATATTTTCTATTAACATCACATTTTTAATTCATCAATTTGCTATTCCGGTACTTCCATCTTCTATTCGGTGTTGTTTTTCCATTCATTGCCATTTTTGTTGTGGCAACAAATCATTGTTTCTGCTCAATCAATGTAATATATTTTTTTTAATTGCTTGATACCATTTCTCAGAGTTGCCATATTCTTTTCTTGAGTATTAAGGCGTCATTTCTTATGATTGCAATATAGGTATCTTACTAGGTATCATTTTTTTTATTATCTAATACCATTTTTGGTATCAAATCTATTATTACTGTATTTATATAATTTTGTTACCATTTAGTGTCATTTTTGTTATTGCAATATTTCATTGATTTGTGATTTTCAAACAAGTGATTGCCTCTTTATTTTGTTTACCACATTGTTTAAACTAATTAAGGGATCGTTTTTCATGTCACTTTGGCTTTTATACCCATTACCTGTGTCTTTTATTTTTTCTTAATGCCTGTCTTAAAGTTGATATTACACATATTGATTACAGTATCACAGGAATAACAAGTCAATTTAACTAGCCACTATAGTACTTCTTTATTTCTGTTTACCTGATTGATGCTATAAAACGATTCATACTAATGATTCCCCGGTTGTTTTAGTGAGTAGAGCGATTTTTATTATTAGGCTGGAATATTCTTATGCATTCACGATGGCTATAAGTGTGCAAAAATATGAACAATATAAACTATACATGAACGTACTATATATGAACAATATAAAATATAAAAAAATATAAACAAAGAGATGCACAAATGCTAAAAATATATAAAATATCAAAAGTGAAATGCACATTATTATAATCAGAATATAAAACATTCTTTTATTCGACCTATAATACTTTATCTGTGCTTGAAAAAAAAGAAGGATTTGTATAAATATCATACCATACCACTTTTTATTATTTAATATCATTTCCCGTAACATAAATTATTTTTTTATTATTTAGTACAATTTGTTATTGCAACATCTTTTTTATTGTAATACTTTTTCGATTTGCCATCAATGTCTGTAGCATTTATTGTCACTCCTTTACAGCAATATTTCTTCCTTTTGTTATCAATTTTTTTACCATTTATTGCCATTTCTGTAGTAACATTTTTCTCCCTCGTTATTAACATTTGTAAGTACCATTCATTGCCATTTTTTTCTGTTCCACGTTTGACATTAATGCATATGGAATTGACGTTTATATTCAAATCGGCATTCGATGCCACTTTTATCGTAAAGTTATTTACAATTTAACATCACTTTTTCGTTGTTCTTAGTACCATTATTGTTATCGAAATTTTTTTTTACTATAATATACAGTTTCATAAATTCTAGACGAAACAGTCTCGGTTCCTTATAACGGTTATACCGCGTCAAGGTTTTACATAATTACTTTAACATACGAAATAGGTACCATAATACTTTCCAAGGTCGCATTATACAAAAATATTCTACGGAAGATCGAACTTCTTGCAAATTCACAAAATTCGTAGAATATAAATTTTCAATTAATTAATTTATGTAGGAATATGTACTTTGGAA